ATATCGGTTATGGCCAGAGCCAATACGCTCCTTAATGGCGTTAAATCCTTGAGATATGAATCAATAGAATATGATCGATAGGGCACAAAGCCCTCTGTTAGCTAAGGTGGATTTAAATTTGTCCCCTTAGACAAACATTCAACCTCGGTCTACAAGGTCCCCTTGGACGAAGCAACCCATGGCTGCTGACAAGGATCCTTCTGTCATGTTGGGTCGACTACCTCCTCTGACTAAGTAGACCAGGGACCACGATGGCCCGGGACGACGGAACCATGGGATCTTGATCGGGTCCATCATCCATTCTCCCACCATCCGCTTTAAGTGAACGATAGTGAAATTTCTATTTTAAATATCAAACTTCCAAACATCCAAACTTTCTAAATTCCCAAATTCTTCAACTATTTCCAAACCCAAACCCATGCTGCTACTATATACAAGATGCACGTATTAACTACGTATCTGATCGATGACTAGCCTTAATCGAAAGTTCTCTCTCGTTAGTGGGAGGGGTAATTAACTATAGGGGCTTGCGCCTAAAGGAAACCAGAACTCAGATCATAAAGTCCTCGCAAAATGAGGGCAAAATCTCTGGGTAGTGTCTTATCTACAAACCCATTTGCCTTCCAAAATTTACCTCGGAACTTAGCTCGTTAAAACTCCCTCGCCGAATAAGAGAAGAGCGCGCGGAGGCCGGGGCCGAATTTTCGGAGCCCACAGGAACCCATCATAGTACCAATATGCATACTATCGAGGTCAATAATTTTGAACTAAAACCTACCATAATTCAAATGGTTTAAAATTCTCAATTTGGGAGAACTCCTATTGAAGATCCCAGCTTACACTTAGCTAGTTCCTTAAAAATCTACATAACATTTAAGTATAATGGTGTTAGTGATGATGCTATTAGATTTAGATTGTGCCTTTTTTCTCTGAGCTCTCAAGGCTAAGATATAGTTGAACTCTTTACCTCCATGTTTTATAATCACTTGGAATGAGTTGGCACGTGAATATTTAGCTAAGTATTTTCTTCCTTAAAAAAATGTAAAACTTAGAAATGATATTACATATTTTGCTCAGTTTTAGGGGAGAATCAATTTATAAAAGTTGGGAGAGATTTAAGAAAATATTTAAAAAATTCCCTCACCATGATTTTTCCAATTGGTTAGTTATTCTGACATTTTACAATGAACTAGTAGGATCCTTTAAATCGATCTTAGATGTTGTAGTCAGAGGATATTTAATGTCTAAGTCATTTGAGAAAGCATATAAACTAATAGAGAAAATTGCTACAAATAATTTTCAGTGGTCTTGTTGATAAGGTGAATCCTAAGAGAGTAGCTAGAGTTTATAAATCAAATACTTTATCAATTTTTACTTCACAAGTGGTTGCAATTTTAAAGAAGTTGGATGCTAGTAGAGTTAACTCATGATCAATATCATTTATACAATAGGAAGGGCATAATATAATTTCTATGGATGATAATAGTGCTCCAGAGATTGAAAATATAAATTTGATTGGAAGGAAAAATAATCTATATTCTAATACATAAATCAAAGCTGGAGGAACCACCCTAATTTTAGTGGGTTAAATAATATTGGCTATAATAAACAATAGAATATAGGTCAATCTAATCAAGGAGAGAATTGGAATAATTCTCAATAACCTTTTGTGAATCCTAAACCTTTTTATCCTCCTAGATTAAATCAAAATAAATAGTTTGGGAACAGGATGACATATTTTGAAGAGGCAGTGATTCAATTAGAAACTCAATTATAACGTCAATTAGTTTCAATCAAAAAATTAAAAATTTAATTAGGATAGCTTGCAATCTCTTTTAGTAGTAGACCCTTAGATCATTTCCTATTAATATTGAAGTTAACCCTAAAGAGAAAAATCATAGTGAAAACCATTTGAGGAGTAGTAGTGATGCACCCCAGCCAAAATTATAAATCTAGCCAAGTCTAGCTGAATACTATAAATTTAGCATTGTAATGGGAGGCAACCCAATTATGTTTGATATTTCTTTGATATTTTTATTTCTTTTGTTGTATTTATAATTTTTACTTTCTTTTTTTTATGTGCATGTGGTGTATTGTTTATAAAACTTATTAATTCTTTATTTTGGCCAAGTTGTGATTAATTTTTTGAGAAAATATTGATGTGCTAAAAATTGAACTAGCTCTGCGGGACTATGATTTGAAGCATCGCAACATTCATTTGTAAATATATGTGGAATTCAAGACTAGCACCACATCATTGAGCTCTTGGGAAAATCACTTGATTAAACCATTACAGTGTTGTATTCTTGAATACTGCAGTTCTTTGTGACCATCTTGAGCACCTCGGTGCTATATATTCAAGTGTCATAGTGTTAAATCAGTTATTTCAACAAATATTATGTTGCTTTAGTCAATGAATTGTACATATCATAATTTTTTTTATTATTACGCTTTACTGAGTGCCATAGTGCTATTGTCAGCATCACAGTGTTAGGTTAAAATCATTATTTAAATAGTCATAGCACCGCAACAGTAGTCTTTGTTAGCATTGTAGTGTTTGTACGTGTCAAATGATGCAGCAGGTGCCCAGTCAAAAAGCGACGCTTTAATTTCCATAGTGGAGCACTGCAGTGCCACATGTCCTGCACCGCCCAACATTTGTCAATTTGTATGTTATCATTTTGTGTTTTTAATCACCGCAGTGTGGTAGTCTTCATCGCACAACATTTTGTTTATTTATAAATAGGAATCCATTTATTTCATTTTTCCACTGTATTTTCATTCCTCTTTATCTCTCAAGCTCTATATTTTTTCCCTTACTTGTCTCCTAAAATGTTTGGAAAGAATATATATTCCTCTTCTTAAGATAAGTGCAAATTCATTTCTATCGAGGCTGGGCAAAGATTTGTAGAGTTATTAGTTAACGACTAACTTATTATTGAGCAAGGCTTCCAAAATCCTGGTATCCCTATCATACATATTATTATAAGGGTTAGGAGCATTTCTGTGAGGAGCCTTATGTAACCATTGTAAATATAGTCAGGGAGTTTTTCGCTAATGGGAAGTAGGTTATAGAAAACAAAAATTATGTGAGGGGTAAGCGATTTCCTTTTGATTCTATTTCTATAAATCACCTCTATAAACTTAAAATTTTTTAATTTCATGAGCACATTACTTTTTCTGGAACCCCCATTGATCATGAGGAAATCTTGAAAGTATTGTATGTACCCAATAGTATAGCAACTTGGAAGAAGAGACGCAACAAACTTATTAATTTTTCTATCTCCTTTCTTACTCAAACTCAAACTTAATTATGCTATTCAAATGGATTACTCTATAGACGTCAAAAAACTTATTTTCACTTCTTTGACTTGTTTAATTAGGGGTACCACTTCAGTAGGATTCGGGCACCCTTTCTTGTCTATGCTTTGTGTAAATGTGGGTGTAAGAGGGGACCAAACTGAGGAGCAACTGTTTCATATCTCAACCCTTATAGAAAGAAAAATTATGAGTTTTAAAAAAGACAGGAGTGATGATGAGGGAGGTCCCAGTGAGCCCAGATCATTAAGTAGATCCGACATTAATAGTAGAAGTATGACTTCTAGGACTCCTAAATCATTAGAAGAGCATTAGGCAGATTTGATAATAAAAATGGACGGGGAGTTAAATTTTTATGATAATGCTAAGGAGTGGCAGGATGAGATGAAAATAAGAGTTTCTCATTACATGGACCATCAAGAAAAGAATTATCATTATATTTTTGAATTCAATAATGCATTGGTTGGTAGAGTAGTCCATTTGTTGAGCTCCCTCATAAGTTGCAGTTCCCTCCAGCAGCCAGTTAGGATCCTTTTATTTGACACCCACCGTTTAGAAATGATGATGGAAATGATGAGTAGAAAGATCGTGACTCTAATAGTTATGAGTCATTATTATTTTCTTTTGATGTTCTTGGTAGTTCTAGAGAGAGAGAGAGAGAGAGTTGGATGTAGCAACTTTTATTTGTTGCTATTTTTTATTTATTTCTTTTTCATTTCTTTTGCTTGGGGGGAGAGCCCAATGATGTGTTGATGTACTGATGTTATTCCTCTGTTGTTTTAGGATGGCTATGAGAGCCATATTGGATGTGATCACATAATGGTACCTTATGCACCAATTATATGTATTATTTTTTTAGTAGTCTGTATTTATTGCCTTGAGCTTTATATCATTCATAAAAAAGGCATATATTATTTCATATTAGCATGTGTTTCTTCTAGTGTAACGTGTGTTGTGTTTATATTTAATTCAAATTATGCTTATGCTTAAACTATTATACACTGTCCTCTACATATACTTGCCCTTTGTATTTATTTAGTCAAAATAAAAAAGATAATTAAAAATTACATAAAATTAGGCTAATAATAAAACCATCGATGATAGTTTGAAAACCTAATAATTAATTAACCTAGATCACTTAAGCTGTTGACTTATTTCTTAATATGGAAACTATACGTTAATGCATTGACCACCGAATTGAAAAAATGAATACTTAATTTTAAGGAATAGATGTGGGTAGTTTAAGTTAGAAGGATCATTGTAAACTTGAAATGTAAAAAGTGATCATATTAAATCCTTACATTAAATCAATTAGGGTTACAATATGATGAAAGTAAAATTGATATTAAAAAAATAAAAAAATGTGAAAAACCTAAAAGAAAATATTTTTAAAAGAAAAAAAATAAGTACATTAAAAAATTAGTATCAGTGAAAGCTTAAATTCAAATGCATCATAATACTTAAATCAAATAGGATAAGTTAAGTGAACTAGTATATATGATAGTACACTAATGAACTTCCTATTTAATTACGAGCACAACTAATCCCTAAGTTATATTATTCATTTCTAAATTTAAAAGTCAATTTTACACTGACAAACATAGTGGATAGATTCAAAACAAGAAATAGCAAGAGTGACTAATTGGGATAATTGTTATGACGTTTTAAATTAGAATTATAAGTTTATTCGTTCCAAATTACATCTAGAATTGATGTGTTATCGTATATTTCAGTAATTTTAGATTATTAATTTTTTTATTTTGTCTATTAAGTGATCAATAGATGAAGTTTTACCGTTGCTTGAGGACAAGCAAAAGTTTAGGATGGAGAAAATTTGTTAAGTATAAATTGTGTACTTTTTATTATATTTAAATTAAGGGAAAAAGTGTTATTTTAGTTATGTTTGTGCAGAAAATGTTAAAAATTGATAAAAATTATAAGTGTTGAGCAACGCATAATGCTATCTCATAACACGCTACAACACTAAGATCATCCATGTTGAGACACCTATTTCATACGTTGCAGCACTGACTACTATAATGTTAAACACAGCGATGAAACAAAGGTCAATGTCGCAGCGCCTCACAGTATCGCTGCACACAAAATTTAGCATCACAGTATTGGAGCCTCAAAAAAATTCACGCTGGAGTGCCATGCCTTTCAACGCCTCAAGATCGAATTTTAAGGCCACAACGCTCAAATTTTGGAGCATCGTGATGGAGCAGCTACCGAAGATGAAGAGTTACATTGACTTAGTGAAAAGACACGCCGTTTCAATCAGTAATCATGCCATGCCATCCAACGCCAAAATGAAGCCAACATTACAGTGTGGATGCGCTAGTTCTTTTTTAACCACCGCGATGCCACCTTATCAAGCTTCGCGATGCCTAAACCTGTCCTTGTACTTACTATAAATAGTTTTTCAATTATATTATTTGGAGAGTTCTGTCACTCAAGTAAAATTTTATAGTTTTAAGTGTATTTTTTTAGTGCCCCTTAGATCAAAGTCTAAGGGAGGATAGGGTACTGCAAGATAATTTTCCATATGGAGATCTTAGTCTATTTGTGTAAGCAACTCTATTGGTGGTGGAAGGAGTGTTGAGAAGATCATTTGATCTTTTCGGTTGATAATTTTCTTTTTACTTTTTTGTATCTTTTATTTCAATGAATGAAAAGAAGATTTGCTTGTTATATCTTCCATGTCTTGCTAATTCTCTAATTTTGATCTAATGATGTAGAAAGCATATCATGCACTAATGTAGACTCTTGTGCTTTAATAAATGTATTGATGTTTTCAATATATATCGTTCTTCATTTAATGCATATAATGATCA